AAGGATCTGTACCGATGACTCCTTAGAAAACGACTTAAGATACATCCAAAATACTCTCGTCAAAATGCGTTATCCTAGTAGATTAGTAAGGAGAAACAGGAATACCATGTATAAGAAGGAGAAACCGAAAATGGTTAAAAAGAAATAATTGTTCCTGAAACTGCAATTTAATGGGGAAGTGGCTAGTGAAGTCTTACATCTAAGATTATTTAGGGCCTTTAAAACGAACCTATACCATTGCTACCCTCTGTTTGTCATTTGTCAGCCGATCACTTATGACTACTCAAGTTAAAGATAAATTGCCTATTTGTGCCACTTCTGTGTGCATTTACAAACTTAGCTGCTCCTGCAGAGACAGCTATATATATAAGGCGAAAAACTAGACAGCGCAATAAACCCATTAATGAGCATCTTCCTGTGTGGTTTGGAGAAGACCAAATAAAATCCTGAAGAAGTTTTGTTTCGTCTAATTTGATTGATAGTGGTCACTAAGCGGATAGAAGCACTACCTTTAAGGTTATCTATCGTATTTCGAACCCACATTTTACACTCAGCCGAACTTATGGAGATTCTAGAGAACAATCCTAGTCTTTGTATACGAAAGAAGTTTGTTCTACCTTTGTCTGTCACTTGGCCTAGGTAAATTCTAATAAAAACTCTCCAAATCTTTCTTATTCTTCATTTTTTTCGTACTTTCTACGATATTTATCTAAACTCTGATTATCTATCCGCCTCACCTTTGTTATCATACAACTTTTTAGATTGGACCTAATTTATTTATTGAATTGTTTAAATAAACATACTACCATCGTCATTCTTATTACCACCAACATTAACTTCTTGTACTTTTGTTATCATTAACCTTATTATCATAATATTTGCAATTAATATAATCATCGCTATTGCTGACGTTTACAATAGTTAACGTTTAGTATTTTTGATCCACACACCCACTGTCATTGGTTAAAATTTTCATATATAAAGCTATTTACATTGAAAGGAGGCCTGAAAAAGATAAAACTGAATGCAGTATTGTTTGCTAATATGTCTTGTTTTAATTTTCACGGTTGGAATATTAAATGATTTGTGTAGATGACGTTTCACGCTAAATCATTGCTATACTGTGCTCACCAACCACACAAGTAATCCACGATAACGACCTCACCAACACGCTACTAAATCGTACCTACTCTAATAACCGACAGTAAATGATCAAGGAAATTCGAGAGCGACGTTGACTTTGAGAATAACAACACTACTGCCACTGATAATCCACAAGCAACGCAAGCAGTGGTAAAAAATACTGCTTTATTAAATTCAAACCAAATAAATAAATACATATCGACTGCATTTCATTGTAATTCTCAGTGCTCATATAATTCTCTAAGTCTTACATAAAGTTTAGGCATCTAGCTGCTTTTAATAACTCCTTTATTGATGTACTCCGTAACTCACAAAGCATGTAAGTGGTGGTAGACAAGAAGACCTACAGTACTTCTTTCTCATACGGATTCACATTTCGATAGTTTTGCATTTTATCAGATATCAGCAATAAGTTTCAATTCACTCTATAGTATAGCGTATAGTAGAGTTTTAGCAAAGTGAAATTAGATACTGTGATCACAGAATATCATCTGTACAGTTAGGTAGGGAAATAGATAACAAGAATATTGTGATTTCAGTTACAAACAAATATTAGACCAACAGTGGTGCAAATTAAAGTATAGAAATTCAAAACGTAGTACCGTCAATGAACAAACAAACAAACAAATGTTGAGACTTGTGTGCTTGCTATCTGTATGATTGTTGATAGCAGAGTGCTGAAAATGTCTAACAGTAAATAAACTTGGATCACTCAAAGATCAATTATGGACAAACGATTATGAAATGGTAGTGACCAAGACTTCTGAGGAAATCATGAACAAGAAGTAGCTGTTCTAGCATACTGGCCTAGTGGGTAACGCTTCGACGATTGAAACTATGAGTACTGGATTGAAGTCTCAGTGAGCGCAGCCTCACTCACTGGAAAATGTAGGTGCACTCAAATGATGAGTCCTGAATGGGGCGAAACACTCATCTTCAACTTCACTCTCAGTCACAAGCCACCAAATTTCTTCAAGCTAATCCTCAGACATTGTCGACGCACCCGTGTACTAGGTGCAGACTGAACATTTCGGTTCAGTCAATCAACGGAGGAATCAAAACTCAATTAAAAGCAAGAATTATTTATCTATGTGTGTGAGTTATGGTTCATATATCTGACCACACTAATCAGCTTCCTTTTTAAATATGGGCTTGTGAAACGAGTGGCCAGATATTATCGGGATTAAGAACTCAACGATTCCTATTTGCTGGTGGTTAGCACTTGAGACTCGTCAGCTGCATATACTTGCCCTTTCAGTGAGTGGTGGTTTCTTCACTGAGACTTGAACCCAGTACCCATCGCTTTAAATGAGAAAGCTTTATCCACTAAGCTACTGAGAGACGTTAGCCACTTCTTAAACAACGAGTATAAACTGGCATTATTTACTGGTGTTTTTCATTTTACTGGGTAGTGTTATAGACTGCTATCTTCATGGATTTGTAAAATTGTGTGAATCAGTGACTTCATGTTTTTCTTCAACTCCATTTTGATTTCACTTACATAATCACGAATTAATATCGTACTGCCTTGAAAGGTGACTTCTTCTAGGAATAGGAACAACTGTACATTTCTCAGTAATTACTAGTAGTTGACATATCAAGCATATTTACTTTAACTATCTGTCTAAATATGAAGATCGTTGTTTTGCATCTTTCACCTAAATAAGTTTCTCTGATGGCTAACATGTCTGACAGAAACCTAATTTATATTTGCGAGAGAACCATCTAGAACCAGCGAATTCTGGACAGGTGTTTCATACCAGTTTGCGATTCATAGACAGTACGCATAACTGGGGTCTGAACCTTCTGTTTACGAGACAAGCTCGCGGACCATTCAGCCACTGAGACCCAACTTAATGAAGAGCCCAAGAATACCGACTTCAACCGATTTCGGATTTTAGAGCGACTGCCACCAGCCAGTGTTATCGGCGAGTATTTGTCATCACTCACTACAGAACAGACCTCTCTAGTCGTGATCTCTCACTTGAACTACAGGGAACGTCGTCCTGCAGTTACTATTAGACATTAAATTAATTTCACGAGTTAGTTTGTAGCGATTTGATTTTTCTCAAGCTTAAAAATGAGCTGACATCAGTTAAAGCTTGGCTTATAACCAGAAGGTTCAGGGTTCAAACCCTGGCGGGTGCGTACTGTTGGGGAGTCCCGAACAAGGATGGAAATGGCGTCCAGTATTTCTTGGTTCTCCAGCCATTCTCTAACTGATATCAGATTGTGTTCACACTTGCTTGTTTATTGCCGGTACTACACTTTTGCATTTCTCTAATTTAATTTTTGCACCGCTGTTGTTCTGATATCTGTTTGTAATTGGTATCACATTATTCTTGTTGTGGCAAGTGCTGCTGATAAGATTTATCAGTAGTATATAAACAGACCCTCATGGGCATAACGTCAGCAAATAGCAAGCAGATATATTTGATGCCAGAGAAAGAAAATAATACAGCGTTGCGAAAACACTAGGAGATGTGAAAAGAACACAAAGAAACACACACAATATGAAGGAAGGCGAGAAGTAGCACAACCACGGAAGGTCTGTGCAAATGGTGCATGCGTTTAAGATGAGGTGTACATTATTTTGTTATATATGGAGATATCGAATTCCAAATAAACATTCCTTTACCAATTCTCTCGTCTTCTACAGTTCCATGGTTACCTTTATCGCAAATTAACTGTACAGATGATATTCTCTGATCACAGTATCTAATTTCACAGTACGAAAACTCTGCTATACACTATACTATAGAGTGAATTGAAGCCTATTGGTGATATCCGAAGAATCCAGTACTATCGAAATGTGAATCCGTAGGAGAAAGAAGTACTGTAGGTCTTCTTGTCTATTACGACTGACATGATTTCTGAGTTGAGAAATAAATCAATAAAACAGTGATTAAGGAAGACTAGTTTCTTTATCTTGATATAGGACTAGTGGAAGTGAATGAGCACTGGAAAGTACAATAAAATGCAGTCGATATATTTTTATTTGGCTTTTTAATTAAATAAAGCAGTATTGTTTATCGCTGCTTGCATTGCTTGTGGAACATGGGGTTGCTTGAGGTTTCCAGAGTTTCAGTGTCGGTGGAGTTGTTATCCTCAGGGTTATCTTTTACTCACTTACTGTCGGCTAGTGGAGTATGCAAGATTTTGTAGCGTGTCGGTGAGGACTTTATAGTGGCCCACTTTTGTGGTTGATGATCACAGTATATCAATGGTTTAGCGGAAAATATCATCTACCCACATAGCAAACAACGAGTTCAGCTCTGAATCGCATCTATTCATCTTTTGAATATTCCTCAGAGATTTTGCACTTAACAATAAATAACTGAGAAATTTAACTTTGATAAGTTAGTCAACAAGTCTATCATTATCAGTGGAGAATGATTTTCAACCATGAAACTCAAGCCTCACGGTTACAAGGTAGAAATAATTATAAAGTAAAATCGTAAAATTCTTTGTTTAGGGTTAATTTGTGTTTCCTATTGACTGTCACATACACCGGACCTAAATACCTGGTCTCTGTTGACATATCTGTTCCTAGTACGAACGCTGCGACGAATCACAGTAGGAACGCCATCACGCCACCAGTGAGGACTTGGACACATCCAACTTACGATTCCCAGATGAAACTAAATACGCCTCCTGGATCCCACTGTTAGTCACCATCTACCGATAAAAACCTGTATTTATTTATATAAATTAAAAAATCAAATGACCGTATCTCACATCGTCATTCTTCTAACCATCCAGAAACATACTGAATACCTTAGCTTGGTCAACTAGTCAGTCAATCTTCAAATAATAAAAAAACATTTAAATAACTAAATAAATCGATAAATACTTACCACATTTTGTATGTAATTATTGAATTCTCTTTTAGTCATCCTTGGTGCTTTCTTTAAAAATGGCACTGATTTAACATTGAAAGTTGATGGATACATATTAGGATCTACTGGGCTGTATTGATTCGGTGAAATTGCACTCTATATAAATGTGAATAGAAAGTAAAGTACTATACAGATTAAATGCTGAGATATTTAAAATATGTTGTATTGTATCTTAAAGGCTCAATTTACACTTATTCCAGTCATATTATTAGTATTATCATTATTGTTCCGTTAGGGGTTTTCACTGGAACACTGGATATGAATAGTACAACAGCATTTTACTGTGTTCTCTTCAGTCGTAGTTTTTGTCTAACTCTACAACTGCTAAAAAGCTTTCAGTTTCTCCTTACATTATCACCACTACTGTCTCATCCTGGTGTAACAACAGAAGACAAGGGCCAGGCAACAGATCATTTATTGAGGAAAATCAACACATATTTATAGATTTTAATGTACATTATTGTAGATTATTGTTAGTAGAAAATACAGTCTTTTGATTGGTTGTTTCTCACAGAAAGTTAACCTTGCATCTCTTTGTGGCTGTGTCAGATCATCCATATGCTAACTGTATCCGCCTACGCAAAGCCTTTGTTCTCATTTTCTCACCACCAATATTGGGGACATAAACATTGACTTCAATTACTGTCTACCAACCTTGGCTGGCAGCCAGCTCTCACCACACTGGGACACCCAACTCATTGCCTCCACTGAATGGCCTGTGGTGCGGTATCACTTATTAGTAGTCCCCTCAGCGTATGTCTTATACATTTCTCCGTTCCCTTCGGCATATTCTTTAGGCGATAGGTTCTCTGATGGTTCGTTGCTTGGCAGAGTTGCTTGATTTTTATCCTTTCTGGCCATTTGATCCCCAGGACCCAGCGATGAGGGAACCTGTTGATGAAAGTCTACAGTAGCATGTTGGAGGTGATTTTGGTGACGCGTCGGTGGCATAGCGGTTACGACGCTCGCTGACTATGCACACGGTCCGGCAGACTCACTCCCTTACCTCACTAAGCCATAAATAAAGCTGGTGAAGAGGATAGGTTGGGAATGAGGCTAGCAACCCCATCTTGTAAAAATAAACACTGCTACAGAAACTTCAAGCTTCTAGCTTGAAGCCCTATGTTCCACTGGGAACGTGAAGGAATAAAAAAATATATATGTTGAAGTAAAAACTCTATGAAACTAGGATTCATTGACATAAGTTAAATTTCGCTTTAAGCATCATGCGACTATAGACTATTTTCATATTAATTAAGTAGTCCCATCATCACCTTTGTAAAGCAATATTTATTTATCATTTTAATGAAATATGTATTCAAAATGTCGTTAAGAACAAAATATATGAAATTCAGCTTCTTTTATTATTAGAAATTGTTCTGTTTCTTTTCATCAAGTGAGTACATCTTATATATTATCGACTGCTGAAACCGTCCGACTATTAGTAAAATAATTCTCCTGATTCTTACTAAATTTAATTTACCATTTCATCATGAACTGACATTGGTTAAAGGACTATTTAAAAAACCAGCAGGGAGTACTGGAAAGCTAGCTGTTTTATCTTAGTCTAGGGCTCTTTGTCACTACTCACCCACAGATTGGGGTTCGAACACGAGACCTTCTGGTTACATTGCGAGCTGGCTCGCATACCATTAAGCCACTGGGACCCAATCCAATGGCCACTCCATGAATTCCAACCTCTGACAATTCATGATATAGTGCAATTATTAGCCAGTGTCATTGCTGGCAAGTACTTGTCCTCACACCCAACCTGCTTTACTGATAAATCCACGTACAGTCCTATTATTATAGAATCAATCACTGAATTCGCTGTTATCCTAATTTTAATTTGTATATATATATATATACATATGGGGTGCCGGACCAACCACTCACGTGGCCCGTGTTCCATTTCCGGTTGACACGCTTCTCTAAAATCCGCCCATCTGATAACAAGCTTGGTAAAAGGAGCGGGTCGGACATGAGGATAGTTACACCGTCATGTAATAAAAGCATCGCCTATACCGAAACTCTAAAGTTCAAGCTCGTAGCTCCATTTCCTGCTCGGAATAAAAGCGTATATATATATATGACATACCATGGGAAATTTATAGAGATTTCTTTGAAATTCTGAAAACTTACAAGTCATGGGTTGTTTACTGAATAGGTTATAATACTTGTCTATTCTGTCGTAAACTGAATTCTGCTTTGAATGATGGAATTCTATGATCATGCATTATTGTTTTCAAAGTTCTTAATATCCAAAAACATGTTAGTTTGTTTATGGTGGTAATAATTAATACTGGGTTTAACTCATTTTCGATCCACATCTTCATGATATGTAATTTGTTTTAAGTGGTACACCTCATACTTTTTAATAAGGTGAGCAATATTGAGGTTAGGCCATCGGTCGAGTGCTAGGTAAGGAGGGGAAATCAGTCGACGAGACTGTGAAATTACATCGACTGAGATAGATGGTTAGGACATGTGTTACGTATGCCTAGTCATCGCCTTCCTCGAGTGACGGGCAATGTTAGCTGACATAGGGCCAGGCTGGAAAAGAGCTAGCGGCGGTCAAACGAAAACATGGCACCAGTCAATGAAATCCACAACAGTTAGTCTAAGCCACGTAGGAAGGTGTCGACTTCCTGACTGGTTGGGGTCCTCAAGACGGTAAAAACCAATGGTCGGAAACAATTGGTGACATGGCTCAAAATCGTTATCAATGGCTGGTGCAGATGCATCCACTCCTTGTGACTTATGATTTCCAATGAAACTGTTTTGTTCTCCGTTATTACTATACCTTTGTCTTACACCTCTGTTTACTGTCTCTAATATGCATTTCTCCTACTTTCTTCTTTTCTGGCTTTGTGTGCTACAAGGAGGGAGTGTGGTGACTTGAACTGCCGCACATATGTGCAAAGTTCTATGTCGAAAACCGACCGACCAACCGATACTTTTTAATGCTTACAATGTTTTAAAACATCTCAAAATGGTTGTTATCTATCAGCTAGTCTTCTACTATTTATTGTACAAATCTGATATACTAATTCCTATTTTAACTCCAAAGGATCTATCCACAGATATACATATGTCATTGACGCATCATTTCAAAATTGATTCACAGTTAGAGCTGAAGTTCTGTTTAGCCATGTAAGCTATTGTATCAGAATGCCTACAACCATCTGCACTGATGTATTCTTTAAGGCGTGAAATCTCTCGACGAATTTATAATACATTTCCATAGAAAATTCTTCTGGCTAATTACAGTAGTTGTACTTATTTTGAAGTTTCAGCTAACTTTCTAATTATTATCCATCTTTCTCGAAGACAGTATATCATTGCTCTGACGTTTGCATATCATATGCTAACTTGATCCTTACTATTTGGCTTTGTTCCAGTTTAATCTTAAGTTGTAATGCTTCTGCTTGTGGTTGTGTAATATTACTGATAATATGTTGCTGGATGGGATTTTTTTTGATGATTAAATCAAGGTCATTCTGACTTTGAACTGTGTTCCGGAATTATTTGGTGTCTGATTCTTGTTTTGGATTGAGTTTCGAACCCACCATGTTGGAGATATTCTACTTGATTCTCATGTACTTCTTACAGTTGAATTCTAGTTAACTAATTTTGTTCTTCAAGTATTTGTTTGTAGGGATTTGATTGATTGGTTAAAGGGTTTCATCATGAACTAACATCGGTTAGAGCACGACTGGAAAACCTTGGAGTACTGGGCAGCTACTTCGTCCTCGTTTGGTATTCTTCACCTGGCTTAAGTGGTACGCCATAACCAGTAGAGTACAGCAGGTCGGGTCTGAGGATAAATACTTGCCAGAGATGATGCTGGCTAGTGGTCGCGCTCGCCAACCACGCACATAGTTAGGGGTTCGATCCCCGGCAAACACACTCCTTTACCTCGCTAATTCAGTAATATGACTGGTAAAAAGGAAAGGTTGGGCATGAGGCTAACAACCCAACCCTATAAAAATAAACACCACTGCTACTGAAACTTCACGCCCTATGCTGCACTGAGAACGTACAGGAATAAAATAATAATAAATGGTCTCACTATGTCGTGAATTGGAAGAAGTTGGAATTCATAGACTGGTCACTGGATCGGGTCTCAGTGGCTCGCTTTGTAACCAGAAGGTGCCATGTTCGAACCCCAATCTGTTGGTGCGTACTACTTAAGAGTCACAAACTGGGACGAAACAGCTGGCTGTCCACTACTCCCTGCTGGTTTTCCAATGGTTCTCTAACCGATGTCAGTTCATGATGAAATCCTTTAACCAACTTTGTTCTACCGTACTTGTCTTGTAAATGAGAATTAGTTCAATCTGTATACCTTCCTGGCGACACTAGTGAGGTAATTTTTAGTTTCTGATACGTCATTATTGTTATTATCATGGAATCAGGCGGGTGAACTTTCAGTTATTTCTAAAGCTATTTTACTATTTGAGTTTTAAAACAAATGGAACAATGGAACAAAAATAAATGAATAAATTTCGCTTCGTCATTTCTTATGACTTCATTCAACATTCAATGCCTAGAAGAACATCTTGAGTAAGCTGTCTCAATTCATGGGTCGCCTTTTGTCAAAACTCACAAAAAGGTGGCTAGATGCGAATAAGGTGCCGCTATATAAGCACATGTAAAGTTAACTGTCTTCAGCAATATCCTTTTAAGTTACCCTCATCTCGGACACTAAACCTGCAAATCTTGTATGCCAGGGGAAGCATTACTTTACTCTTTATTTGTGAAGACTATACGCCAAGGGGGGCTATTAATTGCGATCATCATATCACTTTCGAAAATTTTTCATCATTAGATTGTACATATTTGAACAAATGGTGGCAACAATTCACAAATATGAACGAATTCGCTTGTATGTATACCGGTTTGGAAACAGAAATATTTCATTATTAAATAAAATAATAATATGTATGTAAAACTTGGGCACTGTGGTAGTAAGTAATTCCATATTAGTTTGTTTATTGCATGTATCACACAGTGATGACACAGTATTATTTACTGGATGACGTTCTGAACAGAATTTATTTTATTGTTCATAATCATTTCATCAATTATAATCA